GCACGTGCCTTATCAGACTTTTATCTGATCCATTCATTGTTATTTAACACATGGCAAACGAAGCAGTAATATTTGGTCCTGAGTGTTGCTCGTATCTCACGGAAATCTTTGTTTTCTTGGCTGTGACCTAGGAGAAGTTATCAAAAATCTTGAAAATCACAAAGAATCTGTCTAACAGTGTTTTAACACAATCTGATGCCGCCATCTTCAGTGTAGTAGTAGCTCCGTATTTTCCGGCGCTTCTCTCAACCCCGCTGCACCTGGATAGTCCGGTGTATGTTCGCATAACACCGCCTTAATTTGTATGGATCGCTGGCTGAACTTGTTCAATATTGGCAGTCGGCTTGAGTTCAGTGATTTAGGTTACTTGAAGAATTCTGGGAAAAACGAACAGGCTTTGAGGCCAGTTCTGAGTCAATGGTCTTAGTGGATGCCAAAGTGAAGGCTGTTTCTTTCCAATACGTGGCACTGTTCAAACGGTTCAAACTATTTGACTCACTCAAGTTATGTGCGGACACTGTTTCAGACCCATTGACTAAAATATACAACAACAGTTTTAGAAGCGGAAAAATTCCTGATATTTAAAGACTAACCAATATAGCTCCCGTTCCGAAAGAGGAACGTGGGAAGTATCGTCCCATCGCCTCCACGTCATTCATGCTCAAATTACTTGACAGATATTTGATGCCGTGGGTTGCCACTGAGTCTACCAAAGACGATATACGTCAATCTGCATATTGTTCTTTGCGCTCAACATTTGATTTCGTTGTATACCTTGTTAAATACCTTTCGGCACCATATAAGACAAACCAAACCGTCAGAATGATTTTCTTAGACTACAAAAAGAGGCCTTCGGCAGTCTTGACCGATCGGTATTGCTCAACTTGATTACCGAAAGTGGTATTAATCCAAACGTTTGCAGATTGATCTTCCAATCGCCCAGTTGCTTTTGGTGTTCTACAAGATACAATATTTTCTCCAGGTTTCTTCGCAATTTATGTCAAACAATCTCCCATATCTCCTGCAATCATTGGCTGTAAATATGCAGTTGAAGTTGTTTCCATCCACGCCTGAAATGGTTTCAGAAATTCAGAGCAAGCTAAACGACGTTGTTACTTGCCCCGTTCCCTCTCATTGAATGCCTCTAAATACCAGGATCTTGTTCTTCCTTTTGGCCGATGACCCATATTTAGCCTTCGCAGATAGGTTCCCCAACCTCTCTGTCAATCGTAAACCCGTAGCGAAATCAAAAACGGTAAAATACCTTGATTTCTCATTGGCACACAATTTATCATGGTCACTGCATGTTTAAAACATTCTGAAACGTTAGAAGGATTTCATATTTCTCACTGCGATTGAGAATAATGTTTTGTCCCCCTCAAGCTGATTGTTAGGCTTGTGAATGCATGTGTGCTGCCCCACTGGTTATATTGCTTCCCAGTGATTTTTCCCGGTATGTTGAAGAAAAACTTTTATTTACTAGCAAGATTTCTGAAACATATCTTTAAATGTAGCGGCATCATCAAGGATACACTCGTGGACTCTGTCATAGACAGACAGTCACAAGCACTCAGACACTCACCACCCTTTACACGATAATTTTCAAAAGCTCTCTATGTATGATGTACACGCTCCAGATTTAAACTTTTATTTAGGCGTACTTCTTCTTATCGTTATTCTGTTTTGCCATATCTAGCACGTCTACTAATATATAAGGAGAAAATTTCCACAGAGATGCGCAGTTGCTTACTTCATTGACAAACATTATCTCAATTTCATTTCAATTTCAAATTCATTATGCATTACTTTGTAAATTTTAATCCACAAATATTGTGTAAATGCCGGAAATTCACCAATCCGGGTGCATAAAGCTAATACTGACTTGACGTGACCTGACTTGAACTCCTGGTTAAAGTTATTGCCTGGAATGATGGATAGAAAGAACAAAAGCGAACCGTACATAACTGGAAACAAGACTGTAACAACAATGGGCTAGTTTCAGCTAATAATTATCAGTGCAGCTTGGCTGAAATCCTGAAAGATACCAAGGTAAGCAACTAAAAGCTTGTGCAAGTTTTGTCAGCAGTTTTCCATTGCATGAATGACAGTTAAACTCATGTTGACATTCGCTGAGAAGTAGGCATCTTTTTCAAACGAAAGTAACGTGCTTTTTCCATCACCATATTTGTAAACGTATAGTGCCACAGAAGTTGGACCTCAGGGTGATGGTATTCACACCTTAGCATATACTGATTATACTGCATTATGTTAGAACATGTAGTGTGCAATGAGAATACCGTTCGGAGTGCTTCCACCTGCGAGGTATTTTACAAGAATCAGTTTGGGGATTGTGTTTGACACGAATGAGGTAAACGGTTAACGGGGATTGGGTACAACATCAATTAAATATTTCATTTTTGTCGAAAAATGCAAAAAAGGGCAACTGAAGTGTTTAGCCACTTTGAGCTAACATTTGAATGGATAGGGTGTGACACGAATTGAGTGTGATACACTGATTAGAAACTAATCAAACCATTAGAGCACTCGATAATTGGGATGACCTCTCACTCAGTTCCACTATCCGCCAGGTTCTATGCGATGCACTCTATAGTTTGCTTCATGCGTGACGGTAATAGTTAGTCATGATAGTGGTGGTCCTTTTCCGCAGAGCAAATTGAACTTGCGTACAAAGCGAATATGCAAACACGAGAGAACAGTAAAAATGTTCGAAACAAAAACACAATGCGCGGTGAAACTTCAAATATTGACAGTGGACGCTACTCCGCTAAGTGGTAATATCCTCTGCAACATGCTTCAGGCGAAATCGAGCCCAGAAAATCCAGTTTACTCCAATTGGCTGCTTGTGTATTTTGTCAATGAACCCATTGTGTCAAATACGGACTAAAAGAATCGTTCAACTGAAGCCAATTCACTCCTAAACGCGATGGACAACGTTTGTGATGATCGACACAAAGAGCGTACTGGACAGTTGTTTCATCCTGTTATGGGACTCGCTCGCAGTACGTAGTGATTTGTGTTCCTGTTAGAACTCTTGTTCGGTCATCACAATTATGTACGTCGCGTTTAAATTAATTCAACTAGCGAAGAATTAACGATCTCCTAACGAATGAAACCGACACCCAAAACCATCAGCAGTGCCTGGTGCCAGTGAGAAATCCAATGAGTTAATCCAAACTTCATACTCTCAAATTGATTGACCGCGTAGCTAAGGCGTAAGAATTTGGCATCCCAACCCGAATGTTGGTTGCTCGAGTCTTCACAGTGGGACACAGAAGAGTATGTACTGATGACGAGTACCAAACGGGAAGAAGAAGCTTACTAGTGCTCCTTGTCGGTCATCTTAAGGATTTCCATGGCGTTTAACTGCATTCTGCGTAAGTGCGAAATTAACGATCTCCCAAGAGATGAAACCTTCACCGAAGACCACTAACATTGCCTGACCCAATCGAATGGGCTCCCGACAGAACTGAAGAAAATTTCTGCCTCCTAACGTTTCTGTACAAATTTATTTTTTAAACTGTCTCACAGAAAACGTACAAATTGTAGCCGTTCACAACTCACTGCACGCTGAGTTTATCGTCTCATACTAGCTGAAAATAAAACCAAATCAATAGTCTCTCCGTTTCTTTAGCCCTCCCATCTCATATTCGTCATAAACAGAATGATACTTTTACACAACGTACTTGACCAGTATTTACTTCATAGACAGAAGTAGACGGTCAAGCCGTGACAAGGTGGACCTTGTGACAACGACAGGATCCATACACACAAATGAAAAGCGACTAGGATGCAGGTCTGTGTCATCCTGAGCTATTGTACATATTCGTGAACTGAACCGGAACCTACTCACATCCAAGCGTTGAACAATGATCAGACTCAAATGACGATTTTGGTTAGGAAATTGGACGACCAGACCACATTTGTCGCTGCGTGCGAGAAGAGCATTTTCAAGTAAGATTTTCAAATTTTGACGAGACCGGGATCAAAGATTGACATGCAGGGCGGCAGGATGAGGACTCAAACAATTATTCTAAACAAATGTCTCTATTTAGATGGAACGAATTTCCCATAAAATATCCGCTCACTGTCTCCAGATTATTGGAGAGTCACCTGGAACGTGTGTGGACCGGTCTAGGATCACTCATTATTTACCACGAGTAGCTTTTACACCGCAATATGGCATATCCTAGTGGTTCCAATTCGTATCATCGAATGACAGTTATCTGTGAGCGGCAAAAGTGACCTCATTGGCTTTCTTTCAGATACATAGGAATATTTTCTTGAAAAGATGCAATTACAGCAATAAATAAAGTTTTGGAATTCCAACACGTCTGACAGTTGCACTAATTTCTGTCCTTTTGTCTCCACGTTTGGTTACCTATGTCGAGGTAATTCTACCCCTTTCCACTTTATAAATTTTGCATAAATGAATATTCATTGCCCAGTCTATCTGAAAAGAAGTCAGTTTTGCGGAGGACGTTTTCACTTTTCAATTTGGTTCCAATCTATGATACCGGACCGGACCATAGAAATACTGTCACTTTTTTCAACACTGAATTTCTGGAAGCTTAAAAGTTCTGTTTTTTAATAATAGAATTTGTTTTTATTTTGCGCACTTGCTTCGCGAACCGACAACCGAACGCCTCTGTTGAAACGACTTTGCTCGCATCGTGGGATGCACCTGTCGAGCGAGCATGGCCACAACCCAACCGGCGACCGATTGGTGCGCGCCTCTGAAATCAAGCTGATTGGTCTTATATTGTGATTGGTCCAGACTGTACGCCTGTTTCACGTCGCCGTTTGGCCAGCCGAATTCACATACCAACGGTGTTGGTGATATCGTTCGTCCCAATGCTATTCATCCCTGATGTCAGAAAAAATGTGGATATTGTATGAAGCGTGAAACCGATCTATGTAAAGCAAAAAGTGTTTGTGTAAATGGCCACCTGTTCCCGTTGTGCTCTCCCTCGCGCTAGGCCATGACCAAGTTGAATCTGCTAGATATGCTCATTCTTCTTGGTTGTTTGTCCTCAACTTGTCAAAGTATGTTCAGCTCCACGGACAGCGGAACAGCTGTTGTGTGGCACGAGAAACTCAAGCGGATCAAACGTTTCGGACAACGAAGTGTAGATGCAGATTTGACACGATTGCACACGGCATTGGGAAAATACCAAGCCCCCGTATCGCGAAATGTTCAACCATGGTTAAATGTGGATTTGCAGAACAATTCAACAATGCAACATTATCATTTCCAGATGAACTATTCCTCTGCTCACGAAGAACTTGATGGAATGGAGTGGGATACAAACCGGACGCTGTCCAACCAAACACGATATCTGACTCAATCTGATTCCGGTATTGTTGATCGTAGTCCGCTCGGGTCCGGAAAACAGGGTTCACTGCCGGATAGTAGCTCGGATCCGGTTACACAGACCAGTATTACACACCAGATGTTACCTACTCATGGCTCACGTGTTGTAAAATCAGTGCCACCGATTGATCTATGGACCATCATTCAACTGACTCTATGCAGCTTTACGCTGCTCGTACATTTTGGATGGTTTGGTTGGATTGTGATGGATTTGATACCTTGTGATCAATCGATCGCGTGGAAACGATTACGTGCAATGAAGGAGACCACGTCTTCTCACACCACGGTAAACAGAGCATTCCATTCCAGCAACCGAATCTATATACGATTACAAATACATCTAAGCATCATCGGGACCGTTTTTGCTCTATGTGCAATTAGCGGTAAACTTGTTCGTTATTCTGGATACGCAACAACACAGTGGATCAAACCCGACCAACGGGGTCGTGCAACTCACTCTCGAATGACAGACGTATGGAGTTGTGACATTTCACGAACCGTATCATTACTCGTGATGACCGTATACTGGCTAAACGTGCTCTTGTCTTGTGTTCTATCCACCAGATACGTTCATCGGATCTCAGATCGGACGATTCCTGCCCCGTGCTGGACTAAAAGCCACACGGAAAAGTTTTTGTGTTATGTTCACTTTGGAGCCTCATGGATGTACGCCGCATTGTTGCACTTGTGCGGTTTCATGTTCACACATTTTCCCACCAACTGGACGGATAAATCAATCGGGACGGAATCGCGGGCATTCCCCTTACGGTTGTTATCCGTCGATTGCCAGATTACATCACCACCACATTCCGGTACGGGACTGTTCAATCATCTTTGTCGTTTCACTCTGTCCGAATACGTGCTCAGTTTGATTCTGTCCGTGCTGGGTGATGTGATCCCGGTTGTGGCTGTGATCCCGTTTGCGATCTACCTAATCAAGCTCACCCGATTTGTAAACAGTAAATCAAACAGTTCTGTTTTCTGTGTATCTAGAATGAAACGTCCCGCGCGGAGGCGCACCACCTCGGAACAGACTTATCCATCCACGCATGATTTGTTAACCGCGTCTCAGAGCGGGACAAACCCGCAGACGCCAGGTAGTGAAGTGTCCAGTTCACGTCGGAAGGTGTTTCATGCGTTCGCCAGTTTTGGTATTTGGACCACTCTACTCGGAATGGTGATGTTCTCAATGCATTCCACCCGGATAAGTTTGCACGCACATCATTTGCGATCACTGAACTCCAATTGTGCACACCAAACGTTTGAACAGGGCAAACTGAATCACGCCTATTCGGGTACAAATCAATTGATCAATATACCAGCAAAAGAAGAAAGTGAACTTGAGAGAGAACAATTGTGGCGGTGGTTGTTTCAATTGAGTGAAATCGTTGAGATAATCCTCATATGTCTTATCCCTGCTGGATTTATCACTTTGACGCAATCTTTGAAAAACTGGTTCTTCATCTCGGCGACAGTGACAAACGCTCGGAGAGACGATTCTTCGGACACTTCGGCCCCAGTTACTCCGAGCAGTTTCCCTTTGCGACCGACTGAATCACAGAAAAACGATGCATTACCCAGCCAGTGTGTGAGTTCCACTGAATTATCCGTGGTAAACGGCGCCCACATGAATGAATATCCGTCATTGGCGAGTACTAGCGTGGTGACGACTATGGAGCCGTATGAGTTGCTCAATTTAGGACAATTCACTCGAAGTGAATTTGAACATTTGTCCGCGAAGTCCACCCTGAGTGATCAACATAAAAGTCCAACACGGCCGGATTTATGCGCTCATTTGTGTAATGTAGCCAGTAGTTCTGAGGGTGAAACGACTGGTGCTGCTGCTGCTGCATTGTTCTGTACTAATGCTAAACCGAGTCTGGTTCCTATCTCCGTGCAAGTGGTTAGTTTACATACATTCTGTTGTCAAGCCAGTCCATGCTCAGAAACCCAGGCCGGTACATCTGAAATGCGACTGTCCGGGACACTCAGCTCCCCAACCGGCCCTCCTTCGTCGACCCCTGCACAGTCCGCTTCAATCTTCCCCATTGATAATTCCGGGACATTGAGAAAATCCCCACCCAGTGATTGGGTTCCTACAGACAATTCTATTGGAGTTTTATTGGTACCCAGTGAACCAGGAAGATTGTACAACACACAACCCTGATTCTTCCTGTCCATGATGACGCAATGTCAGCGCATTACCAAACTGATTCCCACTACAAGATGGAAGTTATCACGAGGCTTCCACACCAGGTGATGTCCTTTTTATATTTTCCCACCTAAATTGTCAAGCTGTATCACTCTCACTCTTTTGTACAGATCTATTTCTCCAGTTACGCAGTTTCCCAAAGTGTATTTAAACCCAACGAATTCATCCGAAAAGAAACACGCAAACCGGTTTACTCGTTGCTCGACCACTGTTTTTCTTAAACATTCAAACAAAAACAAGCTAACTAATGATTTTATCGATTCCGTAGAAATTATAATGTTTAGGATAGTGTGAATGTTCTGACATGAAAACTGTGTTCGCAACTGATCAATATGTAGGACGAAACCAAATAGATTTGGAGACACCAAGCCACTTTCAAATATTGCCAACCAGTCTGTTGGTTAAACATACCCAAAACTCCGTCCTCGAATCACTTAGAACCATCTAGATTGCATCGATTGATTTACTCGCCACTTAAAATTTCCAAAACAGAGATGACGAAAATATTATTTGTGGGTAATAATGCAAATCCAGTTAGAGTAACCCATCCATTTTCAGGGTGTAGCTCGTCTCACGTTCCATCACGCGCAGTGATTGACACGTTTCCGGAAACCTGAAACCGCTGTCACATATTCTACACACACAAACACACTTCGTCCTATGTTGACTACAAGTTTGAAAATTATTCCATAAATCCGTGATGGGGTACGATCTCGAACTCATTGTTGTCTTATGTCGCCCGTTGTAGAAACTTGGTTAGCGAGGAGACAATGTGTAATGTCTTTTATGGTAGAACGAATGATATTATGGAGGTTTTAGAAGCAGTTGCCATGCTTTTAGAATTCCTTTCTCCCCGTGTAACGTAATGTTATTCCCCGTCGCTTTTCGTAGGGTATTGCGGATAAGGAAGCACAACTAGAATTCAGATGTTTACACTTTACTGAATTTTGAATGATGAATCACTGCATGCATTGAAAACAACGACATTTATGTGATAAACTTTATTATACTTGTAAATATATGCCCCATGCTGGTAAAGGTTTTGGAAAGTTCTGCCCGTTTTCCATGCCTAGTTGCTGTTCCAGGTTCGTAACATATGCTTCCGCGTTCATTTCCTTTTCACTCGATTGCCGTTTCACGGTTGCGTAATCAAATTCGGGATTACCCGAGCATGATTTCGTGCGGAAGATGTATGCAATCATCTAGCCATGTGCGTGATAACCTACATCTAGTGAACGGAATACGGAGCTCAATTAGCTATGTGAGATGGGAATATTTTTTCTAAGTGGATAGCCACAATGACCATGTTTTGGCTTCAACTTTTAAATGGTAAGGCGATAAATTATGAACGTACAAGTGGCTTTAAAGACAGCCAATTTAGGCGGAGATTATAGGTATCAATAGATTTCATATTGATTTGAACTAACTATCCTTCAGTCTTCACCGTCACTCCCAATACCCAGGTTCTTTAGGTGACCATACACTGAGAGGCACTAGACTCGAGTTCCGCTCTTATTAGAGCTCCTCAGTGATGCATAGCCACCCGTCCGGGATTCGAACTCCGAACCCATCGCATGGACGGCGTGTGCGTTACCGCTGTGCCAGCCAGCTCATACCTGAACTGCAATGATTCGCCAATTCGTGCCTGTTCAGGTATCCTTTTTCAGTGATACGATTATGACTGAACATTCTGAATAGAAGTGGATACAAGAAGCGTTTCATTTGTTACAAAAAATAGGAATTCTGTTTTATTAAATTAGTCTCCATCAGCCTTTATGCACACAAATGTATGCGCTCAACCCATTTAGGAGAACACCTCGACCATGTTTAAATGATGTCACCCTAGAACCAGTTCAAGAAAAGCCTCCATGCAATTGTTGATGACTCTTATTGGATTCCACGCATCATGCGCTTGACGTTTGGGAACACAGTGCTTCTCGTACATACCTCATCACCGAAGGCAGCCTGCCAACGATCAACACCTTAGACCACGTTTAAATTCGTAGAAATTCATCGCCGTCCAGTGACGTCAACTGAATTGTATCCTTACAGTCCGAGTATGGCGAAACTCGTATGATTTGCGAGCTGTACTCTCGGCTGTGTCAATATTTGGTTCTCCGTAATTTGCTACCACTGGACAATATTCACAATATGTAGGTTGCAGTTCACGTTTCCCCAGCTCGGTCATCTGCACCTCGTACTCATCGTGTTCACTGCGTATCCGGAACCGTTTTGCTCAGCCCTCGTGAGGTTGCACGCTAAATTTTCGCGCTATGATGATGGAGACCCCGTTAGGTCAAACGCTTTCAGATGCGAGATCTTCACAGACGACTTTTGATGTTCGAGGGAAACGTTGACACAGTGTATTCGATTTTGGCGCTTCAGTCACTCTCTCTGTAGCGGTTAGTCCTACTGCTCTGCTGACATATCTGTTAGAGATCTCGCGTAAAACGCTCTTGCATTTTCGACCGTCGTGAACGTGAAGTGAAACTGTCTTCCTTCGTGGTACTTTTTCATTACAATTTACTTAACACAACACCTACTACAACGGCCATAAAAATAAATCAATAAGCCTTGGATGATCATTTCGGGATCAGTAAGAACAGAGATAAATCACAACTGGTTAGTATTGAAAAAGGTTAATCTGGACACAGGCTTCCTAATAATGGTTTGGTTTGGTATGGACTGAAATCAATAATTCCACAACCAACCAGACTAACCTGCATAGTTGGTAAAAATGTTTCGTAGAATTGTCGGATTTTGGGTTTTGTACATTTCCAATTCCTAAATTGCTTTACTCAATTAATCTTAGTTTGCTTGCTTATTTCCGACACATACTTTTTCTATTTTGTACACCGGCAAAACTACTGGGATCCGATCTTTTGCTTCCTAAATTTAAGAATACTGGAGCAAAATAATTGATAAAGCCACAGTGGACAATTCTGAACTTCATCTAACGTTTTGATTATCTATTTTAACTAAGCTGGATACTGTGGCTTAAACTTCGTAGAAGGCAATTCAGTATTCATGAATAGACAAAAAACGTTGTGCCGAAACTGGTGTTAAAACAAAACATACCAGCGTTTCATTCGAGCTGGTCTGAGATGGATTCTGAGTTGAGATTCAAATATGAAATATCCGGCACTTTGATTCAACATATGTATTTGTTGCACAATTCAACATGCCACGGCTTAAATCTTTGTCATGGCCATGCACATTTAACTCAGTTCAATATGAGTAGTGTTGTGGTACAATGCACAGCCACCGTCACGTTATACGCGACGGGTTTGGACTTCAAATCCCGAGTAGGATCGAGGGCACGCTTTACTGATGAGCTCGAATAAGAACAAAACCTGACTCTAGTGATTCGGAGTGTATGGTTGACTGAAAGAGCTGAGACATATGTGTAAAAAGGAAGTCTGCAAAATTGTCAGTTCTAACTAGTCAATGAATCAATCAATCCCAAATGGATCCCTGACGGATTCAGTTTGGTTGGGCACACTGAAGTATAAGTCACCAATATCTAGCACATGACGAACTTAGCAGTTAATCGGCCCCGTTTCTCTTACAGGTGAAATACCAATAGCATTTTACAAAGGTTGAGAAATTACTTTTAATTTTCCACACACAAATATAAGGTCTTGCATGTATTATCTTCAAAGTTAATTACTGGGATGAGCATAAGGTACAGTGTAAGTATATCCTTTGTTTCGAAAATAAGTTGACATGTCTGTGAAAATGATTCGGTTGTTATAGATGCCCAAATCGCGATACGTCTCCCGCTTTTCTGAGATGATTTGAATAAATTAAAATATTGGAATGCATTACCATTAGGAGTACTCAAATACTTTTTGTCGCCTTGATTGGTGGAGTTCAGGGGTTGCTAATGGAGTGGATTATACTTCAAGACAATAACAGCTTCCACTAAAAGCATTCCTTTGTCCAGCTGATTTTAATCTGGCACCACTATGAGGCTGGGTGTGTAGCTCTTCACAGAATTGCACAGTGCTCATTTGGATTTTACCGATTTCAAAGATATCGTGATTAGGGAGGTAATTATGGTCCATCTAGCAAGTTACAAGCTAAAAACGTCCCCACAACTGTTCTCCTACTACACTTTTCTGCTTGTCTGCAGGTCAGTCAAAACGGGTGGAATTGAGGGAAACTTTGTAATCCACCACTATATTTGCTTAAAGTTGACCCAATGTTTGATTTTCACTAATCACTTGAAAATGCACATCAGTTTCAGACTTTGCTAGTCTCACAAACTTGTGTGAGAACTTATTGTGACGTTTCTGCCCCCAATAGCTGCAGTTGTCAGATATGTACCCACGTAGTAACAGAATATGTAATTTCCTTGCGATACGGTTTTGAGTGGGGTAGTTATTATCCGGTGTTTGGTATAGTTGGAACTCACTTTCGTCCGTTAGTAATTCTTTCATTTTGTTTATATAACTGTCTCTGGTCATAATTATGGTGCCAGAGCCTTGGCCCGCCTTGAGGCATCTACGATCTGGCATACGCTTCAGTTCTTGTATCATCTTATAGTATTCGGAAGTGAGGCACGCCTGTTGCCAAATCGGTGTCGCAAGGTACGAATAACCACCGGTCATTTTCTGTCGATGTGGGTGAAAGGTCCTTCAGCTGATCATAGAAGTTTTCGAATTGAACTTGATTCTCGAGACTGTCAACCTTTTTTCGTGGAATCTGAAACTTTATCCCCAGTGATAAAACATCCATTTGTGTTTGCGTGAATGTGGTGGATGTGAAACTGTATATAAGTTCAGACGATTGCATGGAAAACACAGGTGACAGCTTGTGATATTGTACCGAGCAATTTTTCGACTGTTCTCTCTTTTGTCTTGATTGATTTGGAAAATATTTGAATTTGATTCTGCACACATATTTGGGATCACTTAGTCGAGGAAAATATCGTTGTTGTGCTTCAATGAACT